GGATTAGTTGCTAATCTTTGAAAAGGGAGAAATCACTTAAAAAATAGAAATTTCCCGCCGGGGAGACGTGGCTGCCTGGGGCAGTGTGTCCGCCAGCAGCACCGGGGGCGCCCGATGCGCGGTGCCTGCAACTGGATGCCGAGCGCGGCCCTCGTGCCGCTGGGAGGGGCGCCCAGAGCCCGCAGGCCCGGTTCCGGCCACCAGGTGGCAGGCGGGAGCCGTGGGCCGGGAGGCGGAGTGTGGGCCGCTCCCGGCCCCGGGGCCACAGCGCGGAGCGGTTACCGGGAGGGAAGGGCTTCCCGGAGGAGGTGTCCTTGAAGCGGGGAACTAACCACTTGAAGAGAAAGGTGGGCAGAGGCAGTGCCAAGGCCCTACGGCCAGGCCCTGGCGGGGGCGCTGGGCCATCGAGGGCCTTGTGGGCAGTGGGAAGCCTGCATTTAATTTTTTTTCCTGGGGCATAGGAGACGGAAGGACTATTGTAGGTTGAGGAGAGCTAGGTGTCTCAAACCCCAGCACTAGCTAAATGGGGAAACTGAGGCTGGGACCACCTAGTCCAAAGACGGACTGGAACTAGAACCAGCTGTTTCCGATTTCCACCGCCATACCCAGCGGATGACCCCAGGTTTCTCAAATGTTTTTTAAAGTGTGAATAAGAGAAATAAGATACCTCCAATGATAAATTACCCTTCTCAAACACCAAAATAAAATATCTTTTAGGCTTTTTCCCAAAACCAAATCTTTGCATGCTGAAATCCGGCACGCTGCAGAACCAGGGGGTGGGCCAAGGTGGCCCTTTTAAACAGCAACTCGGGCTTAAAACTGGCACTTCTGAGCCCTGGGGCAGGTCACTGCACACCCCTGGGCCTATTCCCCACGTGCAAACTGGGGGTTCCTCTGAGCTAAAGGGTCTGTGTCCTCATCCTGGGAAGGCTGGCCTGGAAATTTCCAAATTCCAGATTCCAGGACAGAGGTGGGCCCTGCTGGTATGGTTTGCGGAGGACCAGCTGTGCCAATGGGGATAAGGGACAGGGTGGATGCTCAGGCTGGAACAGGTCCAGGCGGTGCCCCAGGGCAGGACGGCTGGATTTGCAGTCAGGCCCCCTCACAGGCCTCTCCCTCCCCTCCTCCCCTCCTCCCTTCCCTGGGGACCCAGTAGGCCAGGCTGCTGTCAGGTCAGAGGTCACCCCACCCCCAGCCCTGTTCCTGGAATGAGGACAGACCAGTTGTGTCAGAGGAGCAAGACAAAAGCCACACTTTGAGGGCCTGCAGACCACCCAGTCTCTAGACCTCCTTGGTGCCAGCCAGGCGCCACCTCCCAAATCCAAGCTGAGAGGCCTTGGTGGTAGTTGGGCGGCCGCAGCAAGTAGGCTTGGGGAAACTGAGGCACAGAAGCCTGCACCATCCCTCTGGTTCTAAGCCCCTGTTTGCAGGCACTGGTACACACTGCTGAACCAAACCAGACCCAGCCACATCTCACACCCTGCCCACCCAGGGGGCCCCGGGGGGCCTTGAACAATCCTAGCAGCTCCCATGATGTGCATTAATGGTGTAAGGAATAGCGGATGAGCCCAGAAGCAATCATCCTTTTCAGGCATCCTTTCAACAGCCCCCCAGCCCCACCCCCTCCACCTAGGTCTGCCTCTCCCTCCTGCCAATCAGGCCTAGTTTTGAGTTTCATCTCCTGGGAGCCTCTCTGCCTCCTAACAAGCAGAGCTGGAGGCAGGAGGTGCCTCAGGGTTGGGATGTGGGGGAGCCCCACCGCTCCCTTCGTGCCCTCAGGAGCTGTGTGACCCCAGGGCCCCCAGTCCCTCTCGAGGCCTCTTCAGCGGAGGAATAAAGATGCTAGACTAGCCCATCCAGTTTGTCGGAAAAGGGCTTTAAAAACAAACACACACAACAGAAGACACTTTTCCTTTATGTCCCTGGGGAGCAGGGGCTGAGAGAGGCAGGTGGGTTACCAGGCCCATGGAGATAGAGATGTAGCCAATCCACTTCTGGCGTGGATGGAAAATGCTGGTGAAATGGGCCATAGGAAGCAAGCAGCTGCCACAGGAGGGGGTTGTTTTTTCCAGACTCCTGACCAGCTTTGGGGGCTGACCCAGGTGGAAGGGACAGCCCAGGGCGGCACCAGCC